GTTCTGCATCTCTTTTTTTAAACAATATACATCTAACAACAACAACAACAACAACAGCTGAGGAATATGTTTGCTTCTAGATGTTTGGACTAATAAAAAAAGACAACGGTGCCCCTGGGCTAACATTATAAGATCACAAGGGATGTGCCACTGCTATGAAGTAACGCACGCAACACGATCCACTCGCTGCGGGCTAAATCTTGCTGACAAAGAACTTTCACTGTTTCACGATACAATGGAAAGAAACGATCGGGGGAGGTTCAGTTTTTTGCGCGGCTCGAGAGATTTTCAGGCGATGGACAAAAAAGCCGGGGCAGATGAAACCGTAAACACAAGTGGTTCACTTTTGCAGAAAGAGAAAGGAAGAGAGCGAGTTCATTTTTACGGAACATTTTCGAGCAGGTGGGTCAACTGTGGGAGCGGCTTTCATCCGAAAGTGTAGTACGGAGAAAGTATTCGCGATTTTTATTAGCGGAAATTTTTGTTACAAGAGAAGAAACCTGATCCCGGTTCACACAGATTCATAGCACCTTGAGTTTCCATCGGCAAACGCAACGGTTGAAGTGTCCTCCGCCTGCGCCGCTTGATACATAAAACGTATGAACCTATTCAAACATTTACAATGTTACAAAACCAATGTAGCATTATTTTCAGAAGAGTCTATAAAATTGTCTGGGATAGGAAACATTTGTGTACCTTATACGGTTGAAGTCCAAGAAATCCTTAAAGTCGAAAATATTATTTCCAAAAAGGAACATAAAGGAAAATTTGTTAGGGCGATGTAACGAACGAGCCTGCATGTTATTCAGGTCACTGAGCCGACGATAGAATGTCTCCGAAGCTAAGAAATGGCACGAGGTGGATTTTTAATCTCTCGAAAGGATCTAAGAGGCTCGAAGAAGGGGTTGCGCGCCGTTAGGAGCAGATCGGGGAACTGTTATGGGCGTCCGAGGGGACTGTTATCAGCGAACGGGGGAAGCTGTGGGCCCAACGGGCCGGTCCCAACGGTTTTAACGCGACTTTGAACTCGCGCGCACGACTCTCACTGGTTTTTCTTTTGCGCGTCGCTGCAAGAATGCGGCGCGCATCTTTTCCCGTTTCTCCTTTCTTCTCGCTCGAACGTTGCGGGAGAAAGGGAGACCGCCGGTGGTACCGTAAAGTCCACCTTTCTCTCATCTCGGCTCACCGGTTATTTTCAGCCTCCTGCCGCTACTCCACTTTAACAAAAATCGCCGGACGGGCAGGATAGAACGCGCGACTTTTCTCTCCGCTTCGCGGCCGACCGGTTGCCAGCACCGCAGGCGGCATTTCTGGGCCAGGCTACTCTTGTTTCTGATCGGTCGATATCGTTCTCGTTCGTTTTCTTCTAAATTACGGCAAATTCATGTTTCCAGCGAGCTGATCGAGGCGTGGACAAACATATGTGCTCATAATTATGAAAATGGTCTAAGTCAAAGTTTAAAAAAAAATGAATTTATCACTTATTTCACACGACATGATTTTAAACGAAATTTATTCAATGTAATTTTTACGATATCGTCAAAAATGAACCTTTAGATAGTAGTTGTAATTACAACGTTATACGGAATTCATTTAGTGTTAATTATGAAAGTGGTCTATGTCAACATTACTATGAATTGATCGAAAATTGTAGAAAAAGAAATACATTTTCGATCAAACGAATGTCGCAGCCGGATTTCATTTCAACGAAATCACTTGAAAAATCAATAACAAGGAGAGTAAAAAATACCGCGGGCGAATCTGTCTCTTGGCTAAAAATTCAGTGGATGAGATTCTTGAAAAATGAACCTTATAAAATGTTTTATAAGACTTCTTTAGATGATTCTGAATTCCAAGTTTTTTGGATCTTTCACCTAAAAGAGGAAGACCAAAAATATACGAAAATATTCAATTACTTCCATTATACAACACCACTAGACCAGTAACGGAAGAAAAA